ACCTATCTCAATTATTTTTAGTGAACTAATTTAATGTTGTGGCAAAAAAGCATTTATATAAGTAAAGATTTTTAAAGCTCATATTTTATATTTCAATAGTCCAAATAACTAATCTATTCAAGGTAGAGGTGTATAAACGTTGGTTTTAATCGAAAAAGGTTTTTTAAAAACGGTAATGTTCTTAACCAGTTTTTTTTGATATTAGTTTCGGTTTTAAAAGTATTAATAATGATACAATTATGAAAATATATCAATATATAATTCCTGGCCAGATACAATTGTAAGAACTTAAATTTTTAATTTTTATTTTTTGCTTATGCGACCTTCCCTTACCCGCAACTAGTATTTTTGATTTCATTTATTTTCTATCGATTTCATTTAAATAATGAATAATGTGGTTTTATGTTTTAGACTCATCACTGTTGGTGCTGATATTAAAAAACCTGACTATCATGGTAGGGCACTTCTTCACCATTGTATCTTTTCAGAAAATAACAAATTAGCCAAATATATGCTCCAAAGGTAAGAATTATTTATGTTTTTAAATATCTTTTTTTTCTTTATGATAATTGATACGTGGTTTTGTAACATGTATCTGAATCTGGTGGTTATAGAGGGCAATCCCGTCAATTACAGGTGGGCAGGATGCCTTAGAAAGAGCCATGGAGATAGATCATATGATGGGAGCGATTACTAATGATGAGCTATTGACATTGCTTTCATACGAGAAGTGAAGTGAGGGGGTATATAAGTCATTTTGGCACTGGTGAGTCCTTGAGTTGTTTCATAGAGAACTAGGAGTAAGACCTATGTATTACATGAGTTCATTTTAAAGAAAAAAATATAAAATTCTAAACATTTGAGAAGTTTGAATTTATAAGAAAAAAATTAGAAAAATATTGAATTATTAAAACTAAATTGTTTGTTTTTCTTTTAAATTAAACAAATAATTTAGATAAATAAAAAAAGGAAACTAATGAAACTTTAATTTAGAAAATTTGAAATTAAAAGGAAGCCAATTAATGAAATTGATATGCATTTGTTATTACATTTATTGTAATTATTACATTTAAATATTATATGAAAATTAATAAAATGAAAAAAACTAACAAAATGACATATGACCAAATTAATGAAAGTGTAAGATATGACAAAAGGTTTTTTTATTTATTAGAGAAGATGTTTGATATCTTTGTACGTTTAGATTTGATTTGTATGGAAAGAGATTGATGCGTGTGTGTTGTACACTTGTTTATGCTGATGGTGTTTCTATTGTCATGTTGTTTGTGTGTTTGTGTGTTGAAATACACCTAAATGAAAGAGAAACGTGTCATAAATATTGTACACCATAATAATAAACGTCAAATGGCTGATCCACGAAGCTTCTAGATTTTCTTTTCTTTCATCAACTCAAAACCTCGGCCACAAGAATTGAAAAGATCAGATCCCTCCACGGAACTCTTTTAGATTTGTTTATAATAAATACATTACGTCTAATATGATTATAGTGTTACTTAATTTTTATTTTAAAAGATATTTTTAAATGTAGAATGTATAATATATGATGAGTTAATTTTATAAGTTCCTAATTATATAGATGATAATATTATCTGAAAGTCTTTAGGTTTTTAATTTGACAAATGGATTTATAATTAAGTTATTATTGCTAGGATATAACTTTAAACATTGGATATGAAGTGCTATGGAATGAAACCAATGAATCAGTGATATTAAGAGTATTTTCAGCTGGAGACTTTTTTGAGAGGTTAACACTTCATAAAATGTTTTTTTTTTCTTTGTTATTATTATTTTATCATCGGATAGTTGGTTTTTTAGACATATTATCAATCATTTAAGTATTATTAAATGTTTCCTTTTTTTTTTCTTCCAGCTTTGAGGTTTGTAGTTTTGTACCACTAGCAATATTTCATTTAATATCTTAATATTATCAACCTTCACACCTAATTATTTTGGTTAATTAATTAATTTTATTTTATTGTTCAATATAAAATATTTAATCTATAATAGTCATGGTATTCTTATACATTTATTATTTTTAATTATATATCTAACAATTTTATTATTTTTTTGTATTTAAAAAAAATCCGATATAATTATATTTTTAATTTTTTGTATTGTGTTGTCAAGTAATATATATTTTTTAAATATGGTGTTCGCTTATGTTAAACTAGATGAAAGCGTTAATATAACATTTTATGGCAATACGTTTTTTTATATAAAATTAGTGAAAATCTGTAAAAAACAAAACTACTCTAATAATTTTTAGTATATTACAAAAAACTGTCACCAGAAAGTTATTGTTTGTGATAAAGAATGTTTTCTATAAAAGGAGCTACCAACCACAAATCCACAATAGCCTCATAACCAGTCAAGATTACGTTACACACATCCCTCAGCGTTTCCCTTCCAAGCAAGCAATTCCGTTGCTGTTAATTGTTATCACAAGAAAATTATGGCAGTTGCGAGTGCACCTTCGGCTCTAACAACGATTCTTCATCACTCACAAACTCCCAAATCTCTTACCCTATCGTTTACAACTAGGGCATCCATATCTTCGGTTTCAGTTTCAAATTCAAATGGATCTATCAAGGCTAGGTTTGGATCTTCAAGAGGAGGAGCTGGTGTGTTGGAACGACCTTCTTTTGATCAATCTCAGTTCGACCCTGCTACCCAAGTTCAAGAAGGTTCCATTTCTTTATGTTCGGTTAATTATGTTTTTGGCGAAATTAGCGTTTATGAACTGCAATATTGACCTAAATTTGTGGAATAGCTTAACTGTGTTAGTTTTTGCCCAAAATGTTACATTCTTAATCCATATTTCTGTTTTAAACGATAAGATGTATAATCAGTGGTGATGATCGAAAGCTACCGTAGGTATCTAGTTGTCATCAAAAGTTCATATCTCCGCCTTAGACATGAAATTCTGTTAATTTGCTAAAGCGAACCATAAGATGATGCACATGGACGAAACTTATAACTCAAATTAATGCTGATAAACTTGTATCCTATTCAAATGGAGATTGCACAATTCTTTTGTGTACCTAATTTGGAACGTTATGGTCTTTAAATATGACTCTGTATGCTGATGATTGTTTTGATCATCATGTAGGTGGAGATATCGGAAGCGTAAGACACAAGAAAAACACTGGTAGTGGTGACAGTTACAGAGTGCTCTTGATTGATGATGCACGTCATACTGAGAATCTAGGTAATTATTATACATGATTTTGAGCATAAATTTTCATATCAGAGATTCCATTCCGTGGTGTGTTTAATGGATGGAATTGAATTCCTTCAACTCCAGTGTTTGATGGATTTCGCTATTCCTACGGAAGAAATTCAATTCCATTCTTCTTTTTTACTACTATATTTGATCCATATTTGCAATTTATACGATTCGTTCATGCAGTGGCAAAAGCATTACCTCAGGCTGTTCCAGGTGTTACACCTGATGATGCAAGAAAACACTTCCATGTATCACGGGAAACTGGTCTCGCGGTTGTTCTAGTTACAGTCAAGGTGTGTTTACTGTTTTCACTTCTCTTTCATTATATATAAAGGGTAAAACGGTAATATTCCTCTCACATTAAAATTGATTTTTTTATCGGCTGTAAGGATAAAATCGATGTTTAGTCTTATTAAGACTGTTTATTCAGTCTAGAAAAAAAAACAAAAAAACAGATAGACCTAAGTGCTTTAAATGACTCGAATCTAATCATACTTGAATTCTTAACGATCTTGTGTTGTGAACAGGAGCATGCGGAGTTCTATGCCCAGATGATGATGCGCAAAGGACTTCGATCAACAATTGAGCCAGATTCGACTACTGTATGATTCGGGTCTAACATATTTCTATATATATTATATACAACTCTACCTTTTTAAAGGTTTAGAGTTTAGACTCAAGCTGTGTGTGAACTTAATGAAGCAGTTCTCAGAAACCAATTTTGATAGTAGAAGAATGAGTATAGTATAGACATCGACAAACAGTAAAGTAGATGTGTAAACTTGTTTGTATTATTCTTGATGATGAGCATGGGAGTGAGTCAGTTTCCCACCTTTTTGGATGTGAATTGCGGTGTATTGGTTTTCTATTGAGCTCTAAAGCTAGAAATATTATGTTGTATTGGCTTTCATCTTGGAGTAATATAATCCACTATAATCCATATGATCTTGAGATTAAGAACTTAAAATAAACAAACAAATAATAAATTATGAATAACATAAAAATCATGAACAAATCATGGAATCTCCAAGAGGTTTTTTTTTTGAGAGGTCAAATATTAATAATAATCTCAAAAATTGTTTTATTTTAAATCATCGAACGATTTGCTTTTTGGGTCAACAATACATACCATTTTTATTCTATTAAATGTTTTTTTAGAGTTTCATGTTTTGTCGGGCAACCAAAAGAAACAATATGATAATATTTATGCAACCCTATCGAGAATAAAATGATTGTTGTTAGGGAGATGAGTTTATAGAGAAGAATCTCTTCGTAGAAGAAGCCGTGGGAGCAATGTAGATCTTGAAAAAGTTCAAAAACCATAACATATGACACCTTCTTCAAGCACTAGAGAACATAATCATGAGCCCAAGCAAATAGTTGTAGAGGCACTACGAGAAAGTCAAGAAATTTTGTTCATTTGGATGTTCCTGTTCGTTCGTTTGTTCAGTTAAACTTAAACCGACAAGAAAAACAAATGCTTGTATTTAGATCTTTCTGGCTTTACTACCTTTTATTTGTTATAGTACTAATTTAAGTCGATGGGTTTTTGTTTAAATTTATAACTTTTATACTCCTGAATCAATCGATACATTTTC